AATTACAACTCGTATTGCTTGGTCGAGGCTCTGGGCTGAGAGCATTCCTTGAACCTGGCTCATTGTCTGTGCTATTGTTTTTGGGCCTAGTGATGTAGATTCTTCTGAAGCTGCCGTTTCAGCAACTTCTACAGTTTCCGCATCTGAGAGGATGTCTCGGCGTAACCTTGTTGTTGTTGATGTTCTACTTGGGCTCTTCTGGGTTACTTGTCCAGATTCCTGGGTGGTTGTGGTCTTCCTCGCCCTCTTGGCGGACTTTGCCCTTGTGGCTGGATGGGACATGGTTTGGTTTCTTTGTGGTGGATGTCGGGTGGGGATCCGTGGCGGTCTGATGGGTGCCTTTGTGGACATGATGTCCCTGCTGTTCCTTTCCCTGAGATCGGGAGCCAGAGGGGTGACCCCTGGCCGAATGGTCGAGGACATTGCATTGAGTCGCTTCTTTATCTGCTGTGGTTCCCCTACAAGATGGTAGAGAAGTGATAAGGTGGATTTGACAATTCCATTTTGTGTGTCATCTGGTACGGTGACCCCTTTAAGGACCCCTGGGGCCACTTCGCCCCGAGCATCTGGACGGCTCCTGTCAGGTTCCATGAGGTTTTGAGTACCAGGAGTCACGGCGTTTAGCTGAGGGAAAACAGCAAGGAGAGCTGAGAGCGTGACCGCCGTTCTCCGTTCCCACGGCGAGGGCTGTCGCTGGGCTGGGTGTCGGCCCCACCGAACTCGAGTGTGAGCGACACTGTGTGCCACCACGTTCTGAGTCTCCGTTTACCAGTGGATGAGGGTTGGGTTGTCTCCGCGTTTTGGCTCTTTTGAATTATGCTGCTGTGAACATTTGTGTGTAAGTTTGTAGGTGGCCATAGGTCTTCAGTACTCTTGGGTCTGTTTCCCTTTAAATTGTATCACTTAATTAAACAGGTAAGCAGGGTTTGTCAGGCACCTGTGCTCACATATTAATCAAGAGTCTGGATCTCTTTTGACAATTCTTTAGATTTTGCCTTCCCAAATATTTTAATAAATACAGAAAAAAAATGGAAGGGAACATTCAGGATGTCTTTGACACCTCTGATGGTCTTTGAGATTGCCCAGGGGAGCCCTGGAAAATCAGACATTTGTTTTTGCACCTCATTAAGAGAGATGCCAGGAACGATTGGGTTTGTGTGATGAGTTACTATTGTAAGATTTGCATGAGGAGAGTTGTCAGATCAGAAGACATGTTCAGCTTTCCTGAGGCTAAGCTTATATGGATGAAATGTTAACGTATTTTAGACATTGTACGTTTTACGAGGAGTCCCTGGCGGGTTTTCAGTCCCCACTGCCCACATGTGTTTACCCTCAGGGGAGACACCCATTAAAGTCATGAAATAGTTCTGTACTGGATCCTGATGGAGAAACGTCCGTCCTCCAGGCTGACATTATTGGTTAGAGCAGCGGTTCTCAACCTTCCTAATGCCGCGACCCTTTAATACAGCTCCTCATGTTGTGGTGACCCCCAACCATAAAAGTATTTTCGTTGCTACTGCATAACTGTAATGTTGCTACTGTTATGAACCGTAATGTAAATATCTGATGGTCTTAGGCGAACCCTGTGAAAGGGTCGTTCGACCGCCAAAGGGGTCACGGCCCACAGGTTGAGAACCGCTGCTTTAAAGGATGGACTCTGGGTGCAGGCCTCTGAGCTGCCAGGACTTAAGCAGCTCTCAGACTATCCCTTCGACCAAGGACCGAGCCAGGGTGTCCAGGGCTCGTCTTTGTCCAGAAGCAGCCGGCTTCGTGAAAGCGGACGCTAACCCCAGATCCAGCGGAACGAGAGTGGACTAGGTGGGAGTGCGGGAAGGGGTGCAGGAGCTCCCTGTGGGTATTTAAACTCTTGCTCCTGTTGATTTAATGCTGGGTTTTCCGGCTCTGTGAGGAAGCCTCGTCTTTTTCCGCTCCCTGTAACCCACACCAATGTTGTAGACTCTCCTCTTGTAAATGGAAATAAAACTTTTCAAAATTATCTTTGGTTTTTCATTGGTGTGCAGCGGCATCTCATTGTGTTTTTTAAAAATATATATTTTTATTGGTTTCAGAGAGGAAGGTTGAGGGAGAGAGTTCGAAACATCAGTGATGAGAGGGAATCATTCATCAGCTGCCTCCTGCACGCCCCACAAGGAGGATCGAGCTGCCACCTGAGCACGTGCCCTGACTGGGAATCGAACCGTGACCTCCTGATTCATAGGTCGATGCTCAACCACTGAGCCACGCCTGCTGGGCTCATTGTGGTTTTGCACTTCCCTAATGGTTAATGATGTCCATCACCTTTTACACAAGTGTTTGCTATTGATATATGCTCTTCCGTGAAGTGTCAGGAGGTAAGATGTTGAAGGTACTTGCACACCATTCGTTCCAAGCTTCCCATGCTACAGATGGGGGACTTGAGACCCAAGGCGGGGTGTCTGGCCAAGTTCTCCCAGCAGACTGGGGTCTCTGAATGAAGCAGAGGACGGGTGTAAGGAGGAACGAGCCCCTGAGCCAGGCTTCTGGGCCGTTTCCAGTACCTCCATCTCTTGAGCATCCGCCCAGCCCCTGCCATGGGATCCGTGTGTGCAGGTGAGCCGCCAGGCTGGGGCAGACAGAATTGTTCCCTTGGGGTGTCGGCCAGGTTTGGAGGGCTCACGTTCCCAACGCAGGAGGCAGGGGACCAGGTGGCGTCCTCTCTGAGGGGTGGCAGGGGTGTAGGATTTCACAGATTTGGAACCAACCGGGTCCTTATGAGCCCTGGGCAGCCCCAGGATGCCCGGCTGGAGGTAGAGGCAGCAGCCTCAGTGAATGTGCCCCCACAGCTGCCCCTTGGCCGTGCTGTGTGCCAGGCACGGTGCTACGTGTGTGTGCCCCTCGGATCGCCTCCGTCCTCACAGGAACACGGAGGAAGACGTGTTCTCACCATACTTCATGCTGTGACAGGAAGGTGGGTGGCAGGACCATGTTTCTGCCTGTGTGTTTACTTCCTGTGGCTGCTGTAACCAACGACCACAAACTTGGTGGCTTAAAACAACATGGATGCGTTTTCCTGCAGCTCTGGGCGTCAGAAGTCCACAATGGGCTGCAGTCGAGGAGTCGCAGGCTCTTCGGGGGAATCTGGTCCTGCCTGGCCTGGTTTCCAGGTGCTTCCCGCCTCCATCTGGAAGGCTGTCTGAGGCTCTCACCCGCGTCACTCTGACCTGCCTTTGTCTTCCACACCCAGGGACCCTCCGATGCTCAGGCCCACCTGGATCGCCCAGGACGCTCTCCCTAAGGCCAGCTGCTTGGAACAAAGCCTTAGTTCTGCTTTGCCGGGTAACAGTGGGTTTACTACGTCCAGGGATTAGGGCTCAGACATGTTTCGGGGCCATTGCTCTGGGGAGTTGAGGGGCCCTAGGTGAGGAGGAGGTTTGACTTCAGAGAGGAAGGTAGAGGGGGAGAGAGTTCGAAACATCAATGAAGAGAGAGAATCATCAATCAGCAGGAGTGTGGGTTGAGCAGGTGTTGGCAGAGCGATAGGGTGGGAGCACCCCCCTTGAGGGAGTTCTAGCTGGGCGTGGGGTGGGGTGGGGTGCGGGGGGGCAGGTGGCCGGAACGCACACGGGGCCTGGGGTCATAGTGCTGTGGAGAAAGATACGCCTGGAGGGGCTATGGCGTTGGGGGGAGGGGGCAAAGGGGAGCAGGGGCCGCGGGCCTCACTGAGAAGGTGCCAGTTGGGCCAAGACTGAAGGAGGAGAAGGAGGCGTCACAAAGCAGCCGGAGAAAAGGAGTGAAATTCCAACCCCTCCGTGGGCCCAGGGCCCTTCGCTAGCCGGTCCTGTCTGGTCCTTGAGCTTTCTTTCTTTTTTTAAAAAAATGTATTTTTATTGATCTCAGAGAGGAAGGGAGGCGGAGAGAGAGAGAGAGAAACATCAATGATGAGAGAGAATCATGGATTGGCTGCCTCCTGCACGCACCTCACTGGGGATTGAGCCCGCAACCCTGGGCACGTGGTTTCGGACTTGGTTTCGGACTGCCATGTGCCACCTCTGACCCTCGGGGCTGTGTCACCAACTAGCTTCAGTACCGCCTGTCCCACCGAGAGCCCTGGGCCTCAACCCGAGATTCTGGGGCTCTCGCTGGCCACATGTCCACGCTTGGCCCAGGCGGCCGTGGGCGGGGGGATGGAGGTCAGACGGTGGCTCACTGGGCTGCGCCGTCCGGGCTGTGAGCAGAACGGCTTCTCTTAGCTCAGCAAGGCGTGTGGCCGGGAAGGAGGGGGGCTGAGGTCCGACCCAGCCACACCCACCCCGCGGAGGCCTATTGCTCCCCACAGGCTCCTGGCCCTCAGAGAGAGGACGGCGCCCAAGGTGACCTCGGAGTCAGCCCAGCCTGTCGTTGAGTCCTAGCCCGGCCCCTTAGGAGTTGTATCACCTTGAACAAGTTACTTAATGCCTCTGAACTTTAATTTATCCATCCGAAAATAGTACCCATCTCATGGGATGGTTGTGGGCTCGAACGAGGAAATGTCAAACGCACCTTGTAGACAGTCAATAAGCGGCTGATTGGGGGGATCACTCCGTCCCACTGTGCCCCAGCCCATGGCCTCCCTACTGTAGAGAGAGAACGGGGCTCTGATCTGCGGGAGGCGTGCCCTGGCTCTGGCCCCAACTGGCCGCAAGACTCGGGGCTCGTTATGATCTCCAGTTTCCTTGTCTCTGCAGAGGAGACAACCCCAGCACCTCGCCAAAGGGTTAAGAGAAACCCCTCAGATAGACTGTTTAGCACACTCCCGGAGATGGAGGAACAAGCAAGGCGCAAAGAAGTGACAGGTGATGGAGGCAGGCAGTGACTCCTAAGTGAAAGCCCAGAGCTCTGGGGTCCTACGGCCCCGTTTCCAGTGGTTACGCCCCAGTTGGGGGTCCTGACGCCCCTCCCCACCCACGGAGCCCAGGCTCCCCCGTCGTCAGGAGGTGCGGCGAGGCGAGCCGGTGAGAGAGAAGCTGAGCGCTCGACCCGCAGACGCTTCCACTTTATTGACTGTAAACTCTTCTTTGGTAAACAAGACGACAAGAAGCCCGGAGGGAGGAGCATGCTGAGCGGAGAAGACGGGGGAGGGGCGGTGCCCTCCGCACACGGGCGCTCTGAGGGGACAGCTACACCATCAGCAAGTGTGGGGCGGGCGGTGGCCTGCGGGGAGGCGCCGGGAGCAGGAGGGAAGGGCCCACCCAGCTGGACACAGAAGCCTAAATTACACAGCAAATGCGCTCATGCATCACAGCGAAGAGAAGCCGGGGAACCCCCCCCCCCCCCCCACCGCGCCCTGCCCACCTCCCAGGCTTGGTTGGTGCCCCCTGCAGGCAGAGCCGAGCCGGTCAGGCCAGGGCTGGGCTGGAGGGGGGCTCCGGGGGGGGCCTGTCAGCTGCCCGTCCTCGTCTCTCCTTTCCTGCTCTGCAGGTGGCAGGGGCGTGGGGAGGAGCGCCCAAGATCCCGGGGTCGGGGGAGGGGTGTCAGGGCCGCGGGGCAGGGTCTGGGGGGAGGAGAGGCCGCCTCGGTGGCCCCTCTACAGGGGGGCCTCGCTGCAGAGGACGATCTCCAGGTCCTTGCGGTAGAGCTTCCCCGCCTCGGCCAAGGACATGACGCTCTTCCTGTAGTTGGTGAGCTCTCGGATGTTCATCTCCTAGGAGACACAGAGAGAGGGTGAGAGCCGGCTCAGGGGCGGCCGCGCAGAAACCGCCCATCGCCCATCGGCTCACTCACAGCACAGGGCGGGCCCTGCCGCGGGTCCCATCGCAGTGGGGGTGGCTCAGAGGGGTGCAAAGCACGGGCCTAAAGCCCTTCTTCACTCGCTGGCGCGTTGCTTTGGGGAAAGGATTCTACTTGAGTCTCAGCGGCCTGGCCTGTGGAATGGGCACACTCAGGGCCCTCGCCTCGGGAGGTGTCGCAGCGACTAGACAAGGCAGCGGATGTGAACACCATTTAGCTCCGTACCTGACTCGGAGCACGGATCCCAAAAAGGGCAGCTATGGCGATGACAGCCGTCACCTGTGCCAACTTCTACAAGTCCCGCCACCCCCACGGGCCGCCTCTGTCGCTCTGTGTCCCTGCGGGCGAGGGAGAGGGTGCCCGGGAAGCTCCCTGGCCTTGCCTCCAGGCCCCTGGACACACTTCCTAAGCCTCCCCGTTTACCTAAGGAATTCTGACCCCCCGTGTCCTCCAGCAGCACCGCTGGCCAGCTCTCCCTGCTCACGGGCTCCCTGAGGCTTTCGGAGGCTCCGATGACGGGGGGCTGTGGACACACGCCCACAGCCCACAGCCTCGTGGTGCCTGGAGGCAGCATTCAGCGCTGGGCGCGCCTTATGGGGGACCGGGGACACCTGCTTTATTGCGCTTTGCTTTGTTGTGTTCACAGATGTTGTGGGGTGTTTTTTTGTTTGTTTGTTTTTCATTGAAGGCAAGACTCTCCACCAGCAAGAAGATTATGGCTGGCTTTACTGAGATGCTGGCCTTTTCTGTGGAGGCCTGCAGCGCCCCGCAGTTTCAGAGGTGTGTCTGCCCCCGCTTTGTAGTCATTGCTTTGGATGCTAACAGCCAATGGGTCTGGAATATGGCAACGTCATCTCCAACACTGGAAAGTCACTTAGACAGCTGTCGTTCCTCCTCCTCCTCCTCCTCCTCTGGTATTGAAAATGTCCATAGATATTTTTTAAAGAATAGTTTTCACCCAGGCTGGTGTTGGCCCACACACGGATGGGTCTCAGGTTCGATTCCCGGTCAAGGGCGGGTACTGGGACTGTGGGTTCGATCCCAGGCCCCAGTCTGGGCATGTGTGGGAGGCAGCCAATCCGCCAATCCATGTGTCTCACACTGATTTTCTCTCTCTCTCTCTCTCCCTCTCCCTCTCTCCTTTCCTCCACCCCTTCCACTTTCTCTAAAAATCGATGGGAAAATATCCTCAGGTGAGGAATAACAAGAGTAAGTCTCCTTCTAGGCTGAGGGGTCATGATCCCCATTTTGTTCTGGAGCAAACCAAGCTATAAGGCTAAGGCATGCACCAAAGGACTGGCCAGCTCACAGCCGTGAACAGCCCTAGTCCCCGCGTCCTGGAGTCTCTCTCTCCACCTGGCTCACCTGGCCTCAGTCTCCCCCTTTTCGGCGTTGTTTCTGGGCACCCTCTCCTGTCAGGGGCACCCGACCCACAGGCACTCTGCAGGCCTCTCCAGCTTTGGCGGACATCTTCCCTGAAGCTGTGAGGTCCCTCATAACAGTGGGATGTGCCTGAGTTAGGAACCAAGGATGGGACCCCAAATACGAACTCCCAGCTTGAGCAGACACCCCTCCGCCCCGTGCAGTGCGGCATCAGGAGGCGGCAGCCTTGAGGGAGGGGCTGTCGGCGTCCTGTGTCTATAGGAGATGCTGGAGCTGAGGAGGCCTGGCACGCGTGGCAGCTGCCTTAGGAGGTAAGTCAGACGCCTGATCCCATCCGCCTGTCCCCCAGGAGCCGCCAACATCATTCCGCTCGGCAAACAGACGACAGCCCCTGCTCCATCAAAACGGCACGTGCGTCTGCCCATGGGTTCACCAAGAGCAGCCGTGCCCTTCGCAGCTCTCTCCCCACGGACTGGCTCTCTGCGTCCCCAGGCGCCAGGTCCGACGGCTGCAGGCGGAAGGCGCCCAGGGAAACAACTTTACGAATCCCTGGTTGTCTCACTGTCAGCGTCTGACTCGCTTTGTGCTTCCCCGTCTTGAGCGACCCTGTGCCGCCTGGGAGTTCCTTTGGTGGTGGTGAGAGCGCCTCTCAGGCGATGACCAGGAAACCCAGGCCGGAGGGTGGACGCCTGCCTTCAGGGTCCATCACCTCGGGCGCGAGGCAGGGCCAGATGGAGAACGTCCGTGCCTCATCGATACAATTACAGGTAAAGAGACTTGACATTATGATGCCCCACTCTCCTTGGTACATGGAAGCGCGTCAATAATTTCCCCCTAGAATCTGGTGCCTGGAAAAAGCCTGCCATGTCCAGACACTTGGGGAATGCTCCTCCTTCCTAGGAAAACACTCCTGGCCCCTTTCAGGCAGCTGTGGGCACCACGGAGGAAAAATAAATGTGGATGAAAGGCATGGAGGGTGATGCTCAGGGTACAGATAGAGAGGCCGGGAAGCAATCAGAAAGGGAGGCGGACTCAGAGGCTGCAATGATCCCCCACCCCCCCCCCCCCCGCCCAAAACGAGCAGTAAATGTAGCTCTTGCCTGGCAGCCAAGGCAGTTACACACGCAAGATATTGCAGAGCGTCCGCCTTCTAATTAAAGGAAACAGCCAACAGCCAACCTTTTGCTCAGAGGAAGACGTTTCCAGGGGGTGAAGGAGGGTGGCTGCAAAGCCTCACCTCTGGTTCTGGTCCCCCTGACCCCTCCCCCCCCCGGGGCACCTGACCCCCCCCCCCCCCCGCACCTGACCCCCCCCCCCGGGGCACCTGACCCCCCCCCCCCCGCACCTGACCCCTCCCACCCGGGGCACCTGACCCCCCCCCCCCGGGGCACCCAGCTGAGGCGACGCAGGGAGGCCTCCTGGGGTCTGTCCTATGGGCAACAGACCCAGCAAAGGAAAGGAGCCCAGGCTCCGAGTTTTCTCTGAGGGAACAAATGCGTCTGTGGCTCCTTTTAGCCCCCTGCCCACTGCAGATTCTGCCATGAATTGGTTCGGAATACCTTCACCTCCCACTGGGCTCTGCTCTCCAAAATCTCTCCTCGTGTAAAAAAAAAAAAAGTCTTTTTGTTGTTGTTGGCAATGTGGTCGGCACTTCCATGTGCTGGGCCAGGCAACACAACAGTCACAACAGCCAACAGGTGGCAGCCGCCCGAGTGCCATCGCAGAGGAGGGAGGAACGTGCTGGTGTGAACACACAGGGGAGGGCTCGCCAGCCTTCAGAAGGAGGGGATTCTGGCGCCTTCTACAACACAGACGGACCTGGAGGGTGTTCCGTGAAATAAGCCAGGCACAAGAAAACAAATACTGTGTGTTGTACCCATGCGAGGTCCCTAGATGGTCAGACTTATGGAGACAGGAGGCAGAATGTGGCTGCCAGGGCCTGGGGAGGGAAGGGCTGGGAGCTGTTGGATGGGAATGGAGTTTCAGTTCTGCAGGACGAAGAGAGCTCCGGGTGCGGGTGGTTGCACAGCATCATACATGCATTTGCTAGCACTGAGCTGTGCGCGGAAGCGGGTAAGATGGCGAGCTTTATGCTGGGTATTTACCATAGTTCAACAAAAAAGAAATATAAGCCAATCAACCAACTATTCAAACAGGCACAAGACAAGACAAAACAACAGCCTAAACAACGGGGGGCTCCGCCTCGTGTGGCTGGTCAGAGGGGAGCACGGTGCCCTCCGTGGCCCCCTCTCCCCAGGCCCCGGCCCGCGGCTCACCTTCTTGTTTTTCTCGTACAGGTCCTTGAGAAGGGCATCCAGCTCCTCCTCGTCAATGTAGCCGCTGCCGTCCTGGGGGCGGGCGCAGGGCGTGAGTGCAGAGCTACCCGCCAGCCCCACGGCCGCCGCAGGCTCGCCCCTGGCTTCCCGACCTTCCCCGTACTCAGACCCCGCGGCGCCAAACTAACAGTCGCTCTGACTGCACCAGTCGGTCAGGATCGGTCGCGTCAGGGCACCCTCTGGGGAGCCCTTCATGCGGGCGTCTTTCCTTTGCATTGAAATGGAAGCGAGGTTCAGGGAGCATTTAGCCGAGTGTCACATCCCATAATACGATGCCAGGATGAAGACTGGGGCTCCCTGAAGCTTACCCCCAACCCTTCGGTTATAAGGAAGAGACCCTGGGAGTCTCCTGGGCGGGGGAAGCTAAGAGGGGGTGGTGGTGGTGGTACCCTCTCGTTCCCTACGTCCCAGAGAAACACCTGGTGTCCGAACCTGATGGCAGGAGAGCGGTCCTGGCACCTCCTGCCTTTGGCCCCCAACACCCTATCACACCCCACCTCTGAACAGACGCTCTACCACCAACGATTCTCTCTGGGCCTTTAAGGCACCCAAGCCTTGGGTTCCACAGGCCATGGATCGCGGTGACATTTATCTTATCACACAGCGAGGACGCTGCGGGGAATCAGAAGGGACAGGAAGAAACCACACGGCCCCAGCTGCCCCCCAACAGCTCGTCTGTTCCTAATCACCAAGTGGAGCCATTCTGGCAGGGGACGCCCCGGGGATGGGGCTCCAGGTTCCCACCCCACACCGTCCTCCCTCGTACCTTGTCGTAAAATGTGAAGATGGCGTTGAACTCCTCTGAGGACAGCTTCATGCCCTGGAAGGTCCAAGGCGTTAGAGAGAGAAGCAGAAGCCGTGTGTGTGTGTGTGTGTGTGTGTGTGTGTGTGTGTGTGTGTGTGTGTGTATTGGGGGGCAGGAGGGTGGAAGGTGAGGCTCAGAGGGATGAGAGGAAGGGAGGAACCAAGAAAAGCAAAGAGGCTCTTTTACCTGGAATTTAAGCAGGAAGTTTTCCTGTACAGGCAAGAGTCTGGAAAGAAAATGTTCGAGCAGAGGTTAGAGGCGAGAACAGCTCGCACCCGGGTGGGGTGCAGGAGCCGAGCCTGTAGTTATGGAAGCGATCGCCGAGCACTTAATCTGGAGTTAGGGGAAAGTTCTAAAAAGAGGCAGACAGACACACTGAGGTGTGGCCTTCGCGATCCGATCTGGCTCTGCGTGGAGCTTCGTGAGGCCTGACCTGTCCCCTGCCCCACTGAGGGATCTGAGAGTCGGGATGGGGGCGCAGTGCGCTGGGGCGGAGGGCGGGCACCTACCGGGACATCTCCGAGAGGCCCAGTTTGCCATCGCCATTCAAGTCAAACATCCGCAGCTGTTGGGGACAGAGAGAGATGCTGGGGTTACTCGCTCTGACCTTCCCCTTCTGGAGAGGCGGGCGGAGCAGGCTCATGCCTCCCCTGAGGTCACCGGGGGCCGGGGCCAGCCTGGTCTGGATGGGTCACTGAGGGGAGACAGCTGGGACTCGGTCCCTGTTCCGCTCTCCCCGCCTCAGGAAGAAGGCCGCAGGGGACAGCAGGCCAGCCCCGAAGGCCCACCCTCTCCAAGTTCATCCTCTCCAGCGCTGCAGAGGTTGTCATGGAAACAGATGCTCCTGGTCTCAGTGAGAGCCTGAGAGAGAGGCTGTGTGGGGCCAGGAGCTGGAGTCCCTTCTCCAGCTGCCACCAGGGGTCACTTCACCGGGGCCCGAAGGATCAGCCCACAGAACTCTGCAAACCAATCTCAGTGGCTTGGCCCCGTGTCCTGCGCCCCCAGGGAGGGGGCCGCCGCCCACTCACTATGGTTTGGGTGTACTCCTGGAGCTTGGGCTCATCACACGGCCGGTTGGCCTTCTTCAGCAGGTCCGACAGGAATCCCTGGAATGCAAAAGCCCCCTTCAGAGCTCCCGACCCCGCCAGTCCCTCATGGCTCAGTCCTTCCTGCCATTGGCACAGTTGCATCCCTCAAATCCCCGAACCCTCTCACGTTTGTGGAGTGGCCTGGGAGGCCTGGAGGTGACTCCTGGGCGCAGCCTCACCCCATAGAAAAGGCATTGGAAACTGGCTCTGGCTCCTCAGAGAGCCCAGGACCCAGGCTAAGCAGAGCCTGGGGTCCCTGGTCCCCGAGGAACACAGGGGAAGACGGACAAGCCAGAGGCCGATCGCTGGGGTTGCCTTAGGGTGCCGGTCCGGGCACTGGGTGGGGGGCATGGGGTGTGGTTGAACTCTGTGCCCTCTGGCTCCATGGTACTGATTTCACTCGTCTGCCCGGAGCCAGACCTGAGTCTAAACCGGTGATGGCGAACCTTTTGAGCTCGGCGTGTCAGCATTTTGAAAAACCCTAACTTAACTCCGGTGCCGTGTCACATATAGAAATTTTTTGATATTTGCAACCATAGTAAAACCAAGACTTATATTTTTGATATTTATTTTATGTATTTAAATGCCATTTAACAAAGAAAAATCAACCAAAAAAATGAGCTCACGTGTCACCTCTGACACGCGTGTCATAGGTTCGCCATCACTGGTCTAAACTGACCAAATCCGCGTTCCTCACCCAATGTCTCCTCCTTCCCCAGGGTCCTCAGACCACCCCCAATCTGGCCCCAGTCCATTCTCCGTCCCCTCACACCCTCCTCGAGGCCCCTCCTACCTTGAGCTCGTTGGCTTCAATGTAGCCGCTTCTGTCTGTGTCGTACTTCCGCCAAGCCTGCAACGGAAGGCCGACCTGTTCGCAAGGCCCCCCTGACCCTGCGAGCTCCCTCCGCCTCCCTCCGTCCCGCTCATGGGCCCGGTGAGCTTGCTATTGGAGAACGGTGCAGCGGGTGGGGAGGTGGAGGCGGATTAGCCCCGTTGCCCGTGTTGTCCATGAGGACGCGCAGGAGAGCGTCTTGGAAGACAACTGGGGGGACAGGGCCTCCCCACTCTCTCTGGCTGCAGGACCGGGTCTCTCTTGGGTCCTCCTCTAAGCAGGTGAGCAGCTCCTACCAGGGCTGATACCGGGATCTGGCGGATCTGACTTTGGCTGAGTGTGTAGGGTGTCCTTTTCCTGCTCTGGAAGCTTCTGGTCTTCTGGGTGGAGGCTGGGAGCAAGGGTAAGAACCCTCTGGAAGGTGCAGGAACAGGCTTGGGTTGCTCTTCACTGTGCCCTCCTCCATCCCCCAGCCCGATGCACGCGGCAGCCGTGTCTGACCGTGGGCCAGAAGTGGTAGTGTGATCCGTTTGGACTATATCAAGGCCACAGCCCACACACCTCTTTCTGATAAAAAGCCTTCTTCTCTTTATTATTATTACTATTATTTTTAGGAAACCATCCCTCTCTCATGCTCAACCCATATGGTTCAAGAGGGGCTGACCCCACCTTTAGAGGTAGGCGTGTGCCTGTAGACAAAGTGCCCCGGTGGACAGGAGGGGATACCATGGGGGCTGGGGCAGGGGGCTGCCTGGATCTGTGACAAAAGGCCTAGAGGAGCCTGTTTTCTAAGTACTTCATCTATTTTGGTGCCTGACCATATTTCTTAGATCTTTTTCTCAAGTTTCCTCTTCTTGCTTTTTATTCCCTGCTCCCCAGCTGCACAGAGAGACACCGCAACACTCGCTGTTCCTAGTCAGCGAGCACGCACGCTTCTCCTCGATCTGATCTCCTGCCCCGACTTCTCTGTATCATCCTTTCATTGTCGGGATGATGAGAGATTACAGAGATTTTAGGGTCTTTCCTCCATTCCAGCAAACAAGGTTGTACGATCCCCACAGTACAGTAGTGGCTCAAGAAAGTTGCTTCTGACTTTAAATTTTTCCTAAGAAAGGTCTCTCCTCCCACCCCCGTCCTGATTTTTGAAAAGTGATTGATTAGACACGAGCAGGACCCAGTAGCAGTGTGGCTCACACCCCAGGCGATGGGGGTTGATGGTATTTAATGAGGGGAGTGGATATTCTCGGGGGGGGGGGGGGCAAAAATCCCACCCCTGAGGAAGCACTAAGAAATACATGCAGGTTTTCAAATACGACTTCACCAGCCGCCTGCATGCATTTAGTGCATCAGAATTGAGTTCATCTAGGCTGGGTCTTGACGGGGGATGGAGTGGGGGAGCGGGGGTGGGGGGTAGGGAGGTAGGGGGGTGGAGGGGGAGGAAGGCAGACAGTCCCCAAATGCCTAAAGGGAGGATAACCTGAAGGGAGCCCACCTTCGCAGGGCACCCACCGCACCCAGCAAAGCATCTGCCTGCTTTTGGGAGTGAGAACAGCCCAGCAGGCCCAGCCTAACCTCCCTCCCTCCCTCCGCCTCCCTCCCCGGAGCCGCCCCACCCCCACCCTCAGGCTCTCACGTCTCTGCCCTCCAGCACTTTGTGCTCATCCATCAGTGTGTCATTATTCTCTTCCCGTTCAAGGAAGAGAGTTCAAGAGGCTTGGGCTTTGTGACATCTCAAAGAAACCCGCGGTGTCACTAAAATTAGAAATTAAAATGTTGTGTGAGCAGCGGGATGGGCGCTGTCTGGCAGCACTAGCTTCCAGGGCTGCCGGGGGACCACTTCATCTTTCCAGCGGAAAAAAAGCGGAACAAATGGACACCCACAAGAGCGGTGCTGCTGGAGGATGGTGGGGTCCCCGGAAACTGGGGGGGTGTTGGCTCAGCAGTTATGCTGGGGCTTAGGAGATAAAGGCGGGCAAGAGTATGGAATGATGTCAACTACACAGAAACCACTAATTCTGAGAGAGACAGACAGAGGGGCCATTGCTCCTCTTTAAGCATCTCTGCCCCCTGCCAGCTACCATCATCCACATTTTCCAGATCGGAGATGGAATCCAGGCCAAAGGAACCGTCAGGCATAACGCCGCCTTTTCTATAGACAGAAAAATGGACTCTCTCAAAAGCAGCATCCTGACAGGTTTAAAGTCTATGCAGACCTCCCCCCCCCCCCCCCCCGCCCCGCACCCCGCACCTCCTCTCCCAAACAGGCAAGAGAAGGGCTGAGGACAGAATCCAGAATGTCAATTACCAACTTGGGGAATTTTGCCATCTGGAGACAACCTTTTAAAGCCCCATAAAATTCAATCCTCTGATGCTCAGGCGAGCTGCCACTGGAAAAGGCTCCCCCGACCCTGAGCAGGCTATTCCTAACCCACGTTCCAGCCGTCTGTGGGGAACCCACTGTGATGTGGGGCTGGGCTAGCTCCCCAGTCCTTTGAGGCAGCGACTCGCGGAGAGGGGGTGACTGGCGGCTGGAAATGGGCGTAACAGGATGAATGGCAACTGGGTCACTATCACAGCAGGCGGGAGGCGGGGTGTGCGGGACCTGGGTTGAGTTTCCCTCCCGGGGACACATACATGGAACGGCCAGGGTGCAGAGCCCTGGAAAAAGAGCGAGGAATAGCTGGTGGTTTGCTGGGCCATCAGGATTAGTCATATATTTGGTGGAACCATAGGGAATTCCAGTTTTTATGATTAAAAAAATGGTTAAATATCAGCAGTATCATTTGGTGTAACCTGTTGGTTGAATATGGCTCAAAAGACACTTGCATTTGGGTGTCCTCTTTGACTGACCTAAAGACTTTCTACTGTGCAGACAGTAACGCCCATTTAACAGGGGCCAATGAAGCCCAGACCACAGTCACAGAGCAAACCTGGAAGAGCCGGGGAACTGGAATTCTCACTGGGCGTTTCCATCCTCCCCACGCGTCTCCTCGGAACCCTGGCCTTGGGGGACACGGATGGCACTGAGTGGGAAGACAGTGCGGGTGATCCCAGAGCCAAACCCAGCGCCAGGGTCTCTCTGCTGCAGGATCTGGAGCCTGGAATACGCAAACCCCCAAAGGGGAGCTGCACTTGACCTCCGCTTGCTTCTCGCCTTATTCCTCACACTTCAATGCGCACACAGCGCCGGGGACCCCGTGAGCCTGGGTTCTGCCTCAGTGCTTCTAACAAGCACGCCGTGATGGTGCGGGTCCACGGACCACTCTGTGAGTAGCTGCGCTCCAAGGGGCCGAGCGTCTCCCAGGGCCCAGGCGCAGGCGTGCGGGTGGGCCCGGCTCTGAACACGCCTCACCTCCATGAACTCCGCGCTGGAGCCCACGTGCTGCCGGAAGCAGAGCAGGAAGCTCTCCTCGGTGGGCAGGATCTGCGCCAGCTGCGGGTCAGAGAGCGACAGCGCCGTTAGGGGGTGCCCTGCTGGGGAGCAGAGCAGGCGTCCCCTTAGGAAGAATGGGAAATGGCCAGGGCCCAGGCGGCAAGGGAGTCGCATTTTGCTTCCTTCCTGAGAGCAGCCTTTGGAAGGGGCAGACGATGTTCGGAGAAGTGCGTCTTTGTCACCCCAGCTGGAGGGACAGAAGGTGGCACCAAGGACCCAGACTCAAAAGCGTACTGAATGGATGGTTCCAAACACATAACTTCCTAGGATATGCAAGGTGATCTGATGGCCCACACCAGGCGAAGGCACCTTTGGGGGGTGAGAGAAATGCTGAACCTTGATCTGGTGGTGATTACATGCCTGCCTATAACTGTGTGAACTCACGGAATTTGACACTTCAAGTCGATTTAATCAATGCAGTTTATTGTATGTAAATTATACCCCCACGGACTTTAAAAAAGTGCCAGTAGTCTTGTGCAGCAAGCCCTCCCTGCCCGGCCTTTTGCTGCCAGCATCCTGGGTCACAGGCAAATCCTGATTAGTTTCAGGTAAATGTGCTAATCTTATTTCCCTCACCAGTGATTGGCTTATGGGTAGGCAGGTGACCTAGTCCTGGCCCAGGACATGTGAGGGGAGGTCTGCTGAGGGTGCGCCTGGGAAAGGTTTCCTTGCTCTTATGAATGAGGCACCAACTGAGAGGAGCCCTTTCTGCATCTGGATGTGATGTGATGCCTGGAACTGCTGCAGCCAGCTTGCCTCCAGCCCGAGGATGGAGCTGTTTTAGGGGCCGAGAACAGAGCCCCGGGAACTGCCGAGAAGCAGAGCTGGAGACCTGGCCTCCTCCACCTGGGGCCAACCCTACCCACGGCCTTTCTCATCGTAGTTGAAGCCAGACGCCAGCAAACTGTGATTCCTGGGTCAAACCTGTCAGTGAACTTGTACTGGAACATGGCCGTGGCCATGCATTTGCACACTGTCTGCGCCTGCTTTTGGGCCACCATGGCAGTGCAGAGTTGAAGAGTCGCGACAGGGACTGTATGACCCACGATCCCCAAACACTTGTCAAAATTTGCTTCACTTCTGTCTCTATAATCCAGGTGGACATGGATTTCAGGGGGTCCCTGGTCAGCTCCGTACACCCTCCCAACCCCAGGGACCCAAGTGTTGCTTCTGACCTCGTTCAGGTGGTCTTAGCTCCTTATCTCCCTGTTGGTGGAATGTTCCTAACCATTTCCAGTTTGGCGCTACCCAGTTTCAATAGATCTTTGCTAAAAAAAACTCTTGAATTTTTTTAACATGCCTCAATTTATCTTTTAACAATGTGTATATAGCTATTCACATATAAATGCATATGTGTATATAATATGTAAAGTATATTACACACAAATTATACATGCCATATATACAGAGGTGGGCGAAAGTAGGTTTACAGTTGTGAGTATGCAAAAACAGTTTATTCTTGTATTATTGATTTATTATTGTGTTCTTTGTCTTATTATTGTTATTTTATATCCTTACTTATGATTTATCTTTTAGGTAATGATGGCTGGTAATTTAACCTACTTTTGCACACCCCTATATTATAAGAAATTTGCATTTTTTAAAAAATGTTGCCTTTGGATGCCTTTACGTGGGGCACGAACTCTCTGGTTCCCCAGTCTTCACCCTCCCTTCTGTCTTCAGCTGGGCTCCTCACACGTTTACAATACCTGATGGACCCTGAGAGCATCTGAGGTCTTCATCCCTGTCTTAGGCCAACGTTTGTTGCTTCCTTCCTTGTGGGACACAGGAAAAGCCCCTTGGGGCAGCCCAAGTGCTCAGGCTGGGGGCGGGGCTTGAAGGTCACCGCCTCATTTAGGTCCCTAGATGGGTGCTTGTGCCGGGGAGAGGCCCAGGTGACATGGCCCTGCCCGCAGAGCTCCAAGCCAGGACAGCAGGACTCACCTCCGCCATCTCGATTTTCCCATCCGAGTTCTTGTCATACTTCTGCATGAATGCCTTCATCTTCTCCCCCAAGTTGTCACTCTTGGACGTCTGTGGAAAGACAGAGGAGGCTGATTTTGCCACTGGGTCCCCCGTAAGGAGCCTGCCTGTTCTACCCACAAACGGAAGCCGAGATGAAGTGACTTCTCTTGGGGCCGACCAGTTAGAATAGACAGAACATGAACTCACGGCTCCTGCTTCTAAGGCCAGCATTCTTTCTACCACGTAACAGCTGCTCTATGGACCTGAAAGGACTTCAACCAGCCTGAGAGGGTGTCAGTTGAGACTGTAGTTGACAGACTTGAAAACCACCCCTGATGCCATCTGAGGAAGGCTGTCAGATTTGGGGCCCTTCATAAAACACATTCCTCCACCGACACTGCGATCCCAGAATCAGCAGTGGGGCCCGTGTTTTCTCTGATCCAGGCTTCATTATCTTGGTACCGAGGGGTGATGGGGAAGCTGTTGATAAACTCTTGCATCGCCTCCATCGTATAAGCCCATTGCCTGGACCTCCTCCTCACGGGAGCGCTCTGCTGAGCTTTGAACCAGGAGCTCAGTGGTGGATTTGTGACTCATCACCAGAACTGCTCCACAAAGACTTGCTAATAAGCAGTGGACTAGCCAACAGACACGCAGCAGCGGGCGGTAGAGAGACCCCCAGAGGACCCTCCAGAACTGGGGGAGGAAGTGGGTCTGACTCCATATATTTGAAGACCAGGCATGGTTCTAATCACCTCACCTTTCCAATATTTCAGACGCTCCTCCAAAAGGCTTTAGTGAGTTCCACAGTACGGGGCTGGCACGGGGAACAACATCCCTGCCATTCAGGGGCGGGGATAAGATTCTGAGACACTTCTGGCGGCTAAGGAGGGTGGTTTGACACCTCCGCACACGAGGCCAGCCAGTATCATTGATTCAGACGCTGGTTTGGAGCAATCCCCCATTTTCCTTTAGGCCCTTGCTGAGGATGCCAGCCTTTGTTGTTTAGGAAAGTGGTTCTCCAGTGGGGACGATTTGCCCCCCCCCCCGGCAGGGACATGTAGCAATGTCCAGGGACATTTTTGATTGTCACAACTTGGAAAGGAGCTACTGGCCTCTGGTGTGTAGAGGCCAGGGATGCCGCTAACCATCCTACAATACACAGGATAGTCTCCATGATAATCCTTTGTCCCTCATGAATATCCCTCAGTCCCAGACATCCAGTGATGCTGAGATATGGTACTCTTTTTAGGGAGTAGTCCATCTTTTAAAAATCCTTACAAATAAAAGAAAAACTTTAAGGGTTGAGACCAGAGCTGTCAGGCTGGCTGATGGGATGCATAGCTTGGGACAATGCTTAGAGTCATGGTCAGCCCAGCTGTCGTGGCTCAGTGGTTGAGCATCAACCTATGAACCAGGAGGTCATGGTTCAATTACCAGTCAGGGCACATGCCTGGGTTGCAGTCTTGATCCCCAGTCGGGGGCATACAGGAGGCAACCAATCAATGATTTTTCTCTCATCATCGATGTTTCTCTCTCTCCCTCTCCTCTCTGAAGTAAAAAAAAAAAAAAAAAAAGCCATGGTCAGATGACAGAAATCCCACACAATGGGAGAGGGGGCTGGGCTTACCATGCCAGAGACTTTTCTTGTCTTCTCCAGCTCTTGGAAGAAGTTTTCTAGTTCTTTACCTTCAATATACCCATTTCCTGCAAAGATAGCAAAGACAAAAAGCACTTAACCTCAGAGATAAAGAGTTAAGACCAGTGGAGGGGGGTACAGTGGGGACGTGGGGGGCTTTACGGAGAACTCCTCCTCCCTGGTCAACCAGCAGGTGTCTGGCCAGCCCGAGACCGTTAGGGATGTGGGTCCTGCCCTCAGGCATCTGCAGCTGTAGAGACGGTGCGTCTTTGGGGTACACATGCAGTAGTCAGAGAACATGGGGCGGGGCCAGCGTCGGGGCCAGCACCGAGGTGAGCAGGAGCTGGGAGCTGTCCCTTAGCAGCTGGGCAAGCAGCAGGAGCTGGAGCTGGGACAGGGGATGACAGGCCATCAGCATCCAGGTTTGTCAGCAGGTGGCCGGCCCTAGTCACCTGAACGAGGTCAGAAGCAACACTTGGGTCCCTGGGGTTGGGAGGGTGTACGGAGCTGACCAGTGACCCCCTCAAATCCGTGTCCACCTGGAACCTCAGAATGTGACTTATTTGAAAACAGGCTCTTTGCCACAATGCAATCGGTTAAAATGAGGTCATACTAGACTAGGGCAGGCCCTCAATCCAATGACGTGTTCTTATAGGAAGGCCCCGGGGAAACACGGACACACAGGGAGGCCGGCCACGTGCAGGCAGGGGCAGGGATCAGAGTGAGCATCTCCAAGCGGAGGAGCACCACGGACTGCCAGCCACTCTAGAAGCCACGAGAAAGACACGGGATGCATTGCCCCTCGGAGCCCGAACCGATCCTGCTGACACCTTGACTTTGGACGTCTAGCCTCCAGAACTGTAAGAGAATAAATTTCGGTTGTTTTAAGCCACCTAGTTTGTGGTACTTTGTTTCAAGAGCTGCAGGAAACTGGTAAGTAAAGGAAAGAGTGAAAAGAGGAAGGCGAGGATCCCTCCTGGGGGATGGGGGCACCCGGGAGAGTGGGTCACAGGGATTAAGCATGGGGGGGGGGGCAACCCACTGCAGAGTGAGGGATAGAGGGGCTCTGAGGTCTGGGGACCCAGGTTCAAACCCTGGTCCTGCTGCACTTACCAGCTCTATGACTTTGGGAAGGTTACCTGTCTGGGCTTTGTTAATGAAGTGGGATTTTGGATGTAAATTCCACCGCCCAACCCATTACGAGCTCACCGTAAATGTTGCTATTGTCTGCGTTCAATAACCAGACCCTGTGTATAAGATAAAAAGTGCCTTTGAGGACCAGGTCCCAGGGTCAGTGCCTGACTGGCAAGGTCACGGAAGTAGTGAGAAGTCCGCTAGGTTCTCAAGTCTTGAACTCCAGATGACCCTGAGACCTGCGTGAGCTGAGTCCACAGACAAGGTACACTGGCCTGGGCTGTGGCCGTGACGGGGAGGAGGGTCGATGGGTGGGGAGGCAGGCCCCAGGCACTGCTCCCCAGGCTGCGTGCTCTGATTTGGACTCTCTTGGGATCTTTAAAAAAACATGAACGGCCGGCTCCTACCCCCTGATGTTCTGATGTAATTGGTTTGGGGGGTGATTCTATTTTTTAAAGCTCCCTGGGTCATTTTCACGTCCAGCAAATTGGAAACCACAGGCCGAAAGTTCCAAATCTTATGTAAAGCAGTTAAACAAGGTTTCCAGGCAGAACATTCGACTTGAGGAGAAAAGGGGGGTGGCAGCTAGCTTGCTTCAGGGGAGAATGGAGTTACGAACTAAAGGAGCATTTGCCCTGGCCTTGGTCGGGTGTGGGGGACGGATGGAGGAGGATATGGGAGTCCCCTGGCCCTCTGGGAGAACTTAGCTTACAAATAAATAACTCTAGAGGCGCCCTCTAGTGGAGAAGATGCCACATAGTATATAAAGAATCACGTGAGATAAATGATGGATTTTTGTCTGCAGGGAAAAGATGTGATTGTAATGGGGGTAACGAGACTTGAGTCTCTCCCCCTCTCCCCACCAAGATAGAGTAGTCATGTTTCCTTTAAGGTGTTCTGCAGAGCTTCTTGGGGGAGTTGGAATGTCACGAGTGTGTGCCTACTAGCTGGTGGGAGAGGGCAGCCAGAGTTGCCGAGGGAGGGCGGGAGAGGAAGGAGGAGGGGCTTTCTAGGCCGAAAGGAAGTCATCTGGTTAGTCACTAGTGGATGATAACTCTTGAGTTGGAGGGACAAGTCCTTTTTCTCTTCCTGCCCCTCCCTGCAGTGATCTGGCTGTTCTCCCATTTCTCAGGCAGGAAGCTTGAGGTAAGCGGCCGGTCCAGGTGCTGCTCCCAGAAGCGGGAGGCTGGGGTTGGAAAGGTGGCTCCGGGCTTGCACTGGGAGGTGGGTGACGTGGAGGCCTCAGAGGTGGCCGGGGCCGGGCGGGGTGGACACCTGAGTGAGCGTGCGTCTGCTGCTCCAGTGTGTTAGGAAGTGGCTGGAATGCCTGCCGGGGGCCTCGGACCGGGGTGGGCAGGGGAGACCCTCTGGGCTGAGAGAGGAGAAAGGGAGGAGTGACGTCCCAGGCGGCGAGAGGGGCCGAGCTGGGGTCCTGCCACTGGAGACAGCCCCTTCCTGAACCCGGCTCGAGCAGCACCAGTGGCAGGAGGTTCCCGAGGCTGGGTGACCCCCCTCGCCAGGCCGGAAGTACACCACCTCCCTGTGACCCCAACAAAGGGGCAGGGATGTGGTTCAATTCAACAAGCCTTTATTTTTGAACTGAACAGTTCAACGTTTCGGTGGGACCTCAGAGAGCTGTAGCCACGTTCTAGATATGAGCCTATTTTTCAAGAGCATTTAATGGTCTACTGGGGGGAGGCCGCCAGACAAGATCAACGTGAATCTACCAGCTGAAGGTGGAGGGTGAGAAGCAGAGGCTGGAGCTGCAGGGCCCGAACGGCATCCTCCACCATGGGGGGGTAGCGGGGGGGATAAGGCCTTGCTCCTTTGGCCTCCCTCAGAGCAACTCCCTTCTGTCACCTGGGAAGCGCCTATTATCCGAGGCTGGGGTGGAGGACGGCCTGCCTGCTTCCAGGGAGGCATTCAGCACTGGGGAAGTGGTTTGCTTTTTCTATGACCCTCGTACTTTCTTATGGGATTGGGGTGGGGGGGAAGGTGACTGTCCACCAAGCAAATCTCATGGGTATCTATATGAAGGTGGTTACCATGGCAACCATCACCTCTAACCTCTATCAAACCTATTCTGTGAACCTTATGAAGAGAGGACTGGGTGGGAGCCAGGGATCCTGCACCCTTCCTTAGTTTACTCTTAGTTACTCTTGCCTTTTTTAAATTAAATCAATTTTTTTTTTTTTTTTTAGAGAGATAGAGGGGAGGGAGGAGGGGGAGAAGGAGCGAGAGGGACACATTCATGTGAGAGAGACACGCGAGATTGCTTGTCTCCTGCATGCACCCAGAGACCGGGCCTGCAACTGAGGTGCGTGCCCTTGATCGGGAATCAAAGCTGTGACCCTCTGGTCCTCAGGCCCACGCTCTAACGACGGAGAAACTGGCCAGGGCCAGAGTTTACTCTTGCTACCATTTTTCACCACCACTGTGCTTCAGTTTTCTCAACTTGAAAGTGAGACAACACTTCCTTACAATTTATCTGACCACGGCTACTCGGAAAGCCTTGACTGAAGGACGCTGCGATCACAGTGGATAGACGCCTACCCGGGACACGTGAGCACAGCTTTTCTAAGAACTGAACCGGAGGGAGGAGCCTGACTTAGACGTATAATTCTACCATCAGCTCTGTGACTGTCCGTGTGACGTCGAGCAAGTCAGTGTCTAAGCCTCCATTTCTTCACCTCTAAGTTGGGTATGACTCCGTCTGCCCGTTCTCCTTTCTACGGCTGGTATGAGAGCCACGCGAGGGGATGTGACGACAGCATTCTGGAAAATGTGAAGTGTCCCTAAGTGGAAGCACCACTTCTATACTCTGCCCCGAAGGTCTCTGAACCACCCGGTGGCTGTACACCCGTTGGCCCAATGACAGCTGTCTTAGGGGGCTGGTTCTCGGCCCAGGCTGTGTTGGAATCACCTGGGAAGCTTTTAAAATATATTTTTATTGATTTCAGAGAGGAAGGGAGAGGGAGGGAGAGAGAGAAACATCAATGATGAGAGAGAATCATGGATCTGCTGCCTCCTGCACGCCCCGCACTGGGGATGGAGCCCGCAACCTGCATGGACCCTGACCGGGAAGGGAGCTGTGACCTCCTGGTTCATAGGTTGACACCGAGCCACACTGGCCTGGCAGGGATCACCTGGGGCGCTTTTAAAACATCACTGTGACCTGGGCCCCATCCCCAGAGCTTCTGACTTAATTGATGAGGCGAGGCCTTCTCATGGGCATGTCTTCAAAGCTTCCCAGGTGACTCTAATGTGCAGCCGGGGGTCAGAACTGCTTCAAGCAGCGTGTCTGAAACCTTAAGGTGTGTAAGAGTGGCCTGGGGGTCTTATCAAAACGGAGATCCTGATTTAGTAGGTCTAGGGCCGTGGTTGGCAAACTGCGGCTCTTGAGCCACGTGCGGTTCTTTGGCCCCTTGAGTGTGGCTCTTCCTAAGCCTTAGGAGTATCCTCATTAAGTCAATAACAATGTACCTACCTATATAGTTTAAGTTTAAAAAATTTGGCTCTCAAAAGAAATTTCAATCGTTGCACTGTTGATATTTGGCTCTGTTGACGAATGAGTTTGCCGACCACTGTAAGGCAGTGGTTCTTGGCCTTGGCTGCACATTAGAATCACCTGGGAATCTTTTTAAAATCCTGATTTTTGGGCCTCATCCTCCGGAAATTCTGTTTCTTTGTTACTAATGTTGTGGCCCCACCCCATAACAAACGACCTATGAACCAGGAGGTCACGGTTCGATTCCTGGTCAGGGCACATCCCTGGGTCACGGCTCAATCCTCCTTGTGGGGCATGCAGGGTAAGGGCTTGCTGTTCAAAGTGTGGTCTGTGGAACAGTAGCTTGTTGGAGATGCAGAATCCCAGGCCCCACCCGTCCTTCGGAACCAGAAACTGCATTTTAACCGCGTGGGAACACACACGTCT